TGCTGTAAGTCCTACAGTTCTTCAAGGGTAGCTTTTCATGCCGGAATCCACAACATTTGATGTGTTGATTGTACATATGTTTGTGTTAAATAGTTGTGTGAGTTCCAATTATCTCAATTGTTGGTTAATCTTGTTTGTGTCCGGACATTCCACAAATTACAATCGTCAACCTGAGAAGGGTTGTAGGCATACTGGTGTAAGTCCTGCGATTCTTCAAGGGAATTCCATGAAGACATGATCAGCGAGTTTGTGTGTACTGTTTGTATAAACGTGTGTGGTGTGTCATATCAATTGGTGTATTTTGGATTCATTGTGTTTACTTGTTGTTTTCGTACCTTGTTGTTATTGCGTAATTTTGTTAAAATTTTCGTCGTGATTACTTCTGAAGTTGTTTCGAGTATTCTACATCCATGAATGAATAGATTGATGTCAAGGACAGCAGATGGGGCGTATACGCCGGGGAGGCTATTGCTGAGAATGAAATGCACACGGAGATAATTGTTAGCTGTGGTCTCACACGCCGGGGAGAAAGAGTGTAAACGACTGAGGCTCGCATGCGTCACCGTTACTAGAACTGAGGCAGAATGAGTGACAAGCGATTGCAGCGGTGACTGGTAGTGAGTAGATAAGAGGATGTGCGTAGAGTATCGTGAGGTGCTGCCATGGTCACCTCGCATTCTGCAAGAGTCATTCTAGCAAGTGGCGATTGTGTTGCAAGATGTCAAGAGGAGGTCTCTGTCTGGAGGCGCAGGTCGTCATTGATGTGTGAGATTGTGCTGTGGGTATGCTTGTGGTGTGTTGGCTTTTCTGTTTGTTTTCCATTTCAGCTCTGTCCGTGTTACGCAGTTTCTCGCAATGGCATCCAAGTCAACGTGCATTGGTCGTGATGGAAAAAAGGGTTGGATCCCTTTTTTGCCGGGGAGTGTCAATGGAGTTGAAGATTGAACGATCAATTCTTGGTTGTTTGCTCAAAATCAACTTCCCGAATTTTCCCAGATGCATCAATACGACAGTCATCGTCTCATCGGTCGCTGTTCAGAAAAAAGTGAGAATAAAATCCTCAGAAACCTTAGTAGAAATATTTTTTATATGTTGGTGTTACAATAAAGAATTCTCAAGCGGCCAATCGGTGTTTTGGTTTTTGCGTGTGTTATTACTAAGCGTTTCTGGGAAACTTCAAGGAACAGCGCGGGCCCGAGCGTAGCAAGAGCTGGGCATTAACGGTTTACGAGACGTGGCTGACAGTTTCTGACGGTACAACGTCAGTTTTTAAACGGTTTTGGACAGTTGGCTCGACTTAGGATAGTCACCGTTCATCTTTCCTGGTGCCGGTCAAGTCCTCTTTGAACAAGCAATATCTGGAACTTTTTTGGAATTGGGTCAAGTTCAACAATGCCTGGGTCAAAGAAGGGACAGAGTGTCTTGGATGCAAACAGGAAAGTAAGTCATGGTGACTTGTCTGTTAATTGTAACGATGTGTCTGATGTTAAGCATGATATGGTTGATGTTACTGTTTCGCCGTTCAGGGATAATAGGAACATCAAACTCCCTAAATTTGAACCACGGTGTTTTGATGGAAACCCGGCTGATTATTTAAAATTTGTAAAGGAGTTTGAGATCATGTTGAGTGGTTTTTTATTAAATGATGAAATGAAATTGATGTATTTGATGAGATAATGCACTGGAGATGCTGCAAGAGCTATACAGTGCTGTAAGTTTATGAAGCCGAAAGAGGGCTACTACGAGGCTATGAGCATATTACGTCAAAGGTTTGGAAGACCTTCGATGATTGTAGGGAAATTATTCGAGGCTGTCAAAGGTAACGGCTATCAACTTCAAGATGACTCCAAGGCACTTACTGAGTTTTTAGATAATCTTATGACTTATAAGAATACCTTGATTTCGATGAATTGCATGAGTGACCTCAACTCGAGTTTTATACTAGAAGTAATAGCAAAACGCCTACCTACTCGACTGCAAAGGAAGTGGGTGAAGATGAGCTCCCGTATGGAGGATGAGGGTATCGAGCCAAAGTTCGATGATATCCTGAAACTGGTAAAGGATAGTGTCAAACAATTTATGAGCAAGTTCGCCAGTATATTGAATCTCACCCCTAGAATAGAGCAGTCTGAGGAAAAAACGCAATCATCGATGACGAGTAGGCCTCAGAGAGGTGGATATCGAGAAGGCTCCATGATGTATAGTAATGCATATAGACCTAGTGAGTGTAACAGGTTTCGTAGTACATCCTCAACAGATAAGTTGCAAGCTGCAAGAGAAACACAGTTGTGTTTTACACGTTTGCAAGAAGTGCGTACAAAGGTGAACTGTGAACCAGTGAGCAAGTTCAGTGATAAGCTAAATGTAAACTCCAGGCCTGACTCCGAATTGTGTGACGATAACGGTGCGGTGAAGAAGTCTGTAGTTACAACCGGTAAGCCATTGTTGAATAGAGTGTCACAGAATATAGTTACTGCTTCAGATTGCAGTTCTGACTCCAAAAGTTTACAAAGTATAACTAGTCAGAGTGAACATATAAAACCTTTTAGGATTTGTGAGGAAGAACGAAAATTGTCTACTTCTGTTAATAAAGAGTTTGAAAATGATGAAGTTGACGGTAAAGTGAATATTCGTGATAATGATCATGATAGTGCAGATTTGTCTTTGGTTGATCATGATGAGATGAGGGATATGCCTACTACTGCTAAGTTGACCAAGGGTTCTGTACAACTTGAACGTGAAGTAGAAATAAATGCAGATGCAGTTGCAGAAGGCATGCGTACTTGTGAGACCGTCACTGTGATTGATCAGCATGTAGCCCACCTATCATCAGATGCTAGTGCTAAACCTGAGCTGATAGTAAAAGACAGCAGTGGTGGTCGTCTTGCAGGTAGACAAACTTCTGAAAGCCGAGCAACAACAGCTTCTGATCCACCGCTAACTTCATCAACTGATATCAATCAGTCGTCGTTGGTGCTGTCATCCACAATGAAACAGACGCCCATCAACTCAAGTATCTTGTGCAATGACTATGCTAGTATCAGTTCGTTTGAAAGGACGAATATCAATGGTCAGTTCAGTGAGGATAAGCCAAGTGTAAACGAGAGAGTAATTGTTAAATTGACTTGCATGAATAAAGGCATTTCTAGTTTCAAGTTACTATTTGAATGTTATTATCTTTGGTGTAAATTACTCTGTTTTTACGCTTGGTTGATGAGATATGTCGTGTGTTTGTTGGTCATCTATATTCTACGGTACAATGACATGAGCGTGTTACCGTTCAGATTTGAGGATATAGCTGATATAAGGAAATCAGCAAATGAACTCTGCGACGATTTTCCAACCTAGAGCGTCAACCTGAGAAGGGTTGTAGGCGTACTGCTGTAAGTCCTACAATTCTTCGAAGGGTAGCGCATCAATGAGCAGTTCAATGTGCTTGGTGTGTGATTTTCTACATATGTTCATATTGCATATACTGAATTGATATCATCTGTCATCTAGCTGTTAGTAATTCTGATTGTGTCCGGATGACTTCCACTTAGATCATCAACCTGAGAAGGAATGTAGGCGTACTGCTGTAAGTCCTACAGTTCTTCAAGGGTAGCTTTTCATGCCGGAATCCACAACATTTGATGTGTTGATTGTACATATGTTTGTGTTAAATAGTTGTGTGAGTTCCAATTATCTCAATTGTTGGTTAATCTTGTTTGTGTCCGGACATTCCACAAATTACAATCGTCAACCTGAGAAGGGTTGTAGGCATACTGGTGTAAGTCCTGCGATTCTTCAAGGGAATTCCATGAAGACATGATCAGCGAGTTTGTGTGTACTGTTTGTATAAACGTGTGTGGTGTGTCATATCAATTGGTGTATTTTGGATTCATTGTGTTTACTTGTTGTTTTCGTACCTTGTTGTTATTGCGTAATTTTGTTAAAATTTTCGTCGTGATTACTTCTGAAGTTGTTTCGAGTATTCTACATCCATGAATGAATAGATTGATGTCAAGGACAGCAGATGGGGCGTATACGCCGGGGAGGCTATTGCTGAGAATGAAATGCACACGGAGATAATTGTTAGCTGTGGTCTCACACGCCGGGGAGAAAGAGTGTAAACGACTGAGGCTCGCATGCGTCACCGTTACTAGAACTGAGGCAGAATGAGTGACAAGCGATTGCAGCGGTGACTGGTAGTGAGTAGATAAGAGGATGTGCGTAGAGTATCGTGAGGTGCTGCCATGGTCACCTCGCATTCTGCAAGAGTCATTCTAGCAAGTGGCGATTGTGTTGCAAGATGTCAAGAGGAGGTCTCTGTCTGGAGGCGCAGGTCGTCATTGATGTGTGAGATTGTGCTGTGGGTATGCTTGTGGTGTGTTGGCTTTTCTGTTTGTTTTCCATTTCAGCTCTGTCCGTGTTACGCAGTTTCTCGCAATGGCATCCAAGTCAACGTGCATTGGTCGTGATGGAAAAAAGGGTTGGATCCCTTTTTTGCCGGGGAGTGTCAATGGAGTTGAAGATTGAACGATCAATTCTTGGTTGTTTGCTCAAAATCAACTTCCCCAATTTTCGCGGGGGCATCAATACGACAGTCATCGTCTCATCGGTCGCTGTTCAGAAAGAAGTCAGGAGACAACCGTCAGAAGTTATATTGTGATTTATTATTGTAATATTTGTTCACAGACCTTAGTTGTAACATTGTTTATATGTTGGTGTTACAATAAAGAATTCTCAAGCGGCCAATCGGTGTTTTGGTTTTTGCGTCCGTTATAACTAAGCGTTTCTGAAATCTTCGAGGAACAGCGTGGGTCCGAGCGTAGCAAGAGCTGGGCATTAACGGTTTATGAGACGTGACTGACACACTCCCTCATTTCACTATACACAGACAACTACGGACATCAATTCGACTGGGACAACGTTCAAATATTAGACAAAGGAAATAACAAGAATGCTAGGGAATTTTTAGAAGCTTGGCATTCCAGTGAATCATCAATCAATAGACACATCGAGATAGACAAAAGTTATCAACCAATAAGAAAGAAACTTCATACACAAAGGGTCAAAGTTCAAGTCAAAGAAACAACCGGTTCCAATGCAAGTAACCTAGAAGGTGTGAAAACACACACAAACAACCAATCACGTCCAAGGTCACCAGGAGAGATGATCAATAAACTCGTGGAGAAATCTAATAGCTCACTTCAAATTGAAGTATGCGCTGAAGATGTCATCCAGTAAGGTGATGAAAGCTTCGCAAACTAACCATCCAGCTCAGAGAACAAAACCACATCAAAATCATCCACCTGAGCTACAAATCTTCTCTATCATGGTTGTTTGCTCAAAACCAACTTCCCGATATTTTCCCAGATGCATCAATACGACAGTCATCGTCTCATCGGTCGCTGTTCAGATAGATGTGAGAATAAAACCCTCAGAAACCTTAGTAGAAATATTTTTTATATGTTGGTGTTACAATAAAGAATTCTCAAGCGGCCAATCGGTGTTTTGGTTTTTGCGTGTGTTATTACTAAGCGTTTCTGGGAAACTTCAAGGAACAGCGCGGGCCCGAGCGTAGCAAGAGCTGGGCATTAACGGTTTACGAGACGTGGCTGACACATATCACTGATTTCAAAATAACACAACAATGAACTATAAATCAAGGATTCTGTAAACAACAAAATTATGTAATAAAATTGACTTCAAGCTTTATTTTTTTCCCAGGCACTTATAACCCATCCACCGAAAACCTGGTTTTTTTGTTAATGCGAAGACAATACTTCTGTATTTTCTGATGTGTTGCACTCACTGACCATCTAGCGGATTTTTCCAACGATGCACAGAAATGATTGTACATAAGTGAGAAGGATGTTTTATACTATTGAGATTAACATTTATCAAGTGTATGTATAATCTCCAGTGTACATGTTAAACATATTTTGCTATCGATTGTAAAATGTGACTGAATAATATGGTCCTATTTCTGTAACAATTTGATGATGCCTGTAAACTGGCATCCCTCATGTACTGTATCATGAGATTAGTCCATTTATTTGTATTACCTCGTCGAATGGCGAAGTGTTTTGGGTGCCGTTTTGTGACTTTGAAGGGTTTTTCGAGTGGTGGAATCAGGGGTGGTTGTATTTGACTGCATCTCACTCATTCAAAGGACCCGGAATCCAGCTCCTTTGGTGTGTATACAGTTCTTGATTGTTCTCGTGATATAATCAGCCTTGAGTTGGTAATTTGTAACCAAAGTCTGTATTCCAGTCAAGGCTTTTCCTATCAATACTGGGAGAGATGAATTCGCTAGGTAGTCTCAGTATGCTTCCGAATACCGTTTCGACAGCAGAACACTGAGGATCAGTTTTTATTGGCGTCCGTATGTCAAACATTACCATTGTGAGTTCTGTTAAAGTAAGATGTTAACGAGGCCTTCAGTTTTCGATGAAAGACTTCTATCACCCCATTAGCTTGGGGTACATATGACGTGCAGCAGATTTAGTGCGATCTGGGGAACTTCGGCCTGTTGTTAATAAGCTCTGACTCAATTTCAGCTCGTCTGTCAGTTGCTACCGTTATAGGCAAACCGAGCATGGACACTCATTGTTGAAGAAAGGCTCTCACTATTGTTTCCACAGAAGTGTCAGCAAGTGATGCAGCCATCTGGAACTTGGTGAACCCATCTGTGGACTGTAAACAAGTAAGTGGACCAATCCGAGTAGGACAGCGGAACTGCTAAGTCTATGTGAATATGCGTGAAGGGGGCTGCGACGATGTTCCTAACTGTGAATTTTTGTTTCTGTACAATTTAGCCTTCTCTCATTCCGTTCACTTTTGACACACTTCTTCAATTCTAGTCGTAGGTTTGGCTAAATATTTATTGCCGAGATTATTTCAGCTGAGGCTCTGGTGACGAGTGAAATTCACTAAATATTGGTTTTTTATAATTTTTGGGACGAAGAGCCGTTGTGAATCATCAATTGTATTGCAGTTTATGAAGCTGGTATCTACAAGAGATGGTGGTCGTTTTATTTCGAGACTAGAGTCATTTGCAGCGAGGATAGGCCATGACATCTGATCGTTCCTCTAATTTGCAGCCAGTGCTTGAAATCTACATTGGTTTATTGCACCATATTTACGTGCATCCTGGAGAGCGCATATGCCACACCGTTCTTTATTCCTTTAACGTGTCCTATATCACTGGTGTCAGTGTAGTTGAAGATTGAACGATCAATACATAGTTGTCTGATCAAACCCTACTCCTCCATATTTTTCGCCGAGTCATCAATCCAAGAGTCATCATCTCATCGTTTGCTGTTCACTGGAAGATAAAAAACGATCAGAAGTATTATCGTGATTTATTGTTATAACATTTACTTTTAGACCTTTTGTGTAATAATAACCTTATTGTTGGTTACATATTGGCGTAAGAATAAAGGATTCTCGAGAAGCCAATCTGTGTTCTGTTTTTCCGCGTTGGTTATTACAAATTGTTTTTGAAAGTCTCCCAGGGACAGCGTGAGGTCCAGCGTAGCAAGAGCTGGACATTGACAGTTTCTGGGAGTTGGCTGACATCAATCGTTTCTGCCCTAAACATGTAGCTTGGTTGGTTGTCATACCATTGTCTACCTAAATATGATCTTTGTATGCGTTTCTATCCACTTTGGCGATGGGTAGGTCATCTGTGTATGCTATAGTGAACGGTCATTCACGAATAAAGTCATCTATAAATCTTCAGAAAGTTTGCGCACAGTCCCGGTGACAAAGTGGAATCTGCACAAACTCAAATAATCGAATGGTGTCGTAGTGGCTGCTTTAGTTATATCTCCCTCAGCTACCAGAGTATTGTGATAGGCGTGAGCTAATCAAATTTTAGGAAGTATCGTGGCACCTCAACAGATGACAAAATGTGAATTACGAAATAGGCCAACCAATTTGGAAATCGACTTGTCTATCAAAACGATTATATAGATTAATGATAGATTCCCAGTGCTACTGCAGCATAGCAGTGGTGTTTACGAATCTTAATTATTGGATGTATGGTAGAGGGCATATAAGGCAGACATACCCAGTCAAACAAACGAAGGAACATTCATCATTCAATAGAAAAAGAACTTTGCAAATATTAAAGAAGATATAGATCCTATTTGAATGCTTATTTCATTCTTCTGAATTCCTTAATCACCGGCCACATCTGGGTGGCCATATAGTTGGGTGTCGAAGAGGACCTACAGATCACGTGTTAACTTCATGAAGAACTTCGGCAGATATGCACGGATATATTGGTGCTCAGAGGAAAATCATTATGGAATATATAAAAATGGTAGTTCAGTCGGAAGAATGATGCAAAGATTCGGATTACTGGGACGCGATAAGTTTGATAATGTTTCAGGGGTCTGTGTAGAGCTCACGGAATCACATCGTGACATGACACTAGGCATAATCTGTCACTTAGGTATAATCACTGGTGACAGTTTATCAATATGATCAACTTTACTCGAGTTTAAATCTGTATCTTCAAAATTCACGTTACTGTCCTGAAATTTGTAATAATTAACATTTATGACCAACACCATATCCGCTGATCAGCATTCACCATCTTCCCTCAAAGTCATGTGAAAAACAAACTAAACGCACTATCATTCCTATTTCTATCGTTCCCTCGCCACTTTAGAATCGGATAAGCTTCTTTGGTGTTGCAGACATAATTCCAAAGTCCCCAAACACGACGAAATGTGTGTTGTGATATGGTACCAAGCGTTTGTCAGGCGTTTTTACGCCTATTCTTTGAGATTTAGAATACCGCCGTTTCAATACAGGGGACTAAACGCGATTCAATATTCCTTGGTTGTTTGTCCAAATTAGAAGGATATAAGCCCGTGTTTGACACATAATGTTGTACTAGTGTAACAACAGAAGACAAGGGCCAGGCAACAGATCGTTTTATTATGAAAATCAACACGTATTTATACATATTTCAGACAACATTATTATAGACAAGCGCAGTCATCTGATTGGTTGTTTAGGTAGACAAACGCAGGCTTCTGATTGGTTGTTTCGGGATTCCTTGACAAACAGAGTTCTCTATCTGCGAATCATATTTTGCCACGTTAACTTCGCTGTGATTGGTTGTTGACTCAGCCTTGTTCACGGCCCATATTAGTGACCTAGACCTTAACGTAGATTAGTGCCAACCAATCGGCTAGCAGCCTGCTCTCACCACACTCGTCCCCCCGTCAAATACGTGCGACTGAAGTCGGCTTGATCTACTTGGTGCAGGCGTCATCGTTGGCTTGTCTCGCTGTATCCATTTCTGGAGCTCGCTGACGTTCACGCGCCTCTCATTGTTCGCCATTGCGACTGTGTCTGCGTAACCCCATCTCGAAGTGACCATATATGGTCCTTCCCACTTTGGAAACTGTTTGCCTGACCCTGTCGAACATTCGTCCATACTTCGGCCCACACCTTCATATGCTGCTTTCGCCCGACCTCCCAGCAGCGTCTCAAGTAGCAGCTCCATCGCTGACAGATCTTGAACGCCACTCAACTGCGCAGAAGCCTTGAAGTCCTGCCCGAAGATCCATATGTCTCCATCAAAAACTGCAGGGTATAGGCTTTTCATTTGTCGGTAGGCAGCGACACCAAATGTAACAACAGAAGACAAGGGCCAGGCAACAGATCGTTTTATTATGAAAATCAACACGTATTTATACATATTTCAGACAACATTATTATAGACAAGCACAGTCATCTGATTGGTTGTTTAGGTAGACAAACGCAGGCTTCTGATTGGTTGTTTCGGGATTCCTTGACAAACAGAGTTCTCTATCTGCGAATCATATTTTGCCACGTTAACTTCGCTGTGATTGGTTGTTGACTCAGCCTTGTTCACGGCCCATATTAGTGACCTAGACCTTAACGTAGATTAGTGCCAACCAATCGGCTAGCAGCCTGCTCTCACCACACTAGTACTTAGGAAGGTATTTCGCCTTGGTACCTGCTCTGCCTCACACAGGTAAAGTGTTTCACGCAAAGCAACCGGCGAACAAATCTTTTTGTCGCCGATACATCACATTCATATCGCACTTATTATTCTAATAAGAACAAATATGTTATTATTTAGTCTTTTAATCAGTCCTATTTATCTCCTCCATTCTGGAGACGATTATCTGCAGAGACATTAACCTGGAAACCGCTGTCAAATGATGCGTTTTGAGGATCGAGTTTCTTGGAACACTTTGCATGCCGAAGGAATTTTTAGAAAAAACTTTATACACTCAACTATCACCAGCTTAGGGGTGGCCCAGTTACTGGTCACTAGGTTACGAATGACCATAATGACCTAAACAAAGATATTCTGTTATCAGGATATTTTGGAGTTCCTCAAGGATCATGTACCACAAGGCACAGATTAAAGTGTGCCCTTATTCTCTCTCGCACCTAATGAACCATCCCTAGAGCTCTTCAACTGGAGCTGCGGCTACTGAGCGTTGCGAGGAAAGGTTTAATCGGATAACGGAAATTCATGCAGCAGTACGAGGACTAACAAAACGGCCCATACGCTTGAGACTCATATACCGCACTCTACTAGCGGATATCACCTAAACTTATTCTGTGCCACTATTCATTTTCCCTTGTCTCACTATTTTGCCAACGACACCAACTCGTTCACTCTTTAATTTTAGGTCTTATTATGTGTATATTATGTGGCCGTCCTTCTTCTAAAGTCCACATAATATTTTCTAATCATATATATTTTCAAATTTATTATCTGCAATTCACGGTACACTTAACAGCTTAATAGTGGAGAGATTACCTCATTCCCAGCAACATCAGAGTCGTAAAAGGGCACTCTTGAAACCACCTATAATCATTTTCCGCATCCTTTCTCTTACAGTCAGTCAGACATACGGCAATCGAGAGGTGCAACAAACTAGTCAGTAGCTCAAAGAAGGTTTCCCCTACTACTAAGATGAGAACACAAAGAAAAAATCTTGTCTACACGTCTGGACTTACCCATAACCTTGGTTGAAATTTCACTTAGTAAATTTTTTTCGTCAATAGGTTTTCATAAAACTGTGCTATATGTTTTCCGAATTGATACAAATACTCGTTTACTGACTAGTCTACACTTTCCCAGTAAAAATGATATTGAATATGGCGTCACTTTTAAGTGGTGCGTAACTTAGCGAGAAGTATGTCGAAACTCGTCTTAATCGGTTACACGTTCTCGCAACGAGCTATTCTTAGTGTATAAATGACATTAAAAATTCTGTGAGGGTTGAGTCGAGTGATTTTCTCAGGTGTTCACCAGTAAACAGTTAAGTTTCTTGTACAACTTTGAAACTTGTGAGATATATCAGACTACATATAGCTGCAGCTTACGCCATAACGGAAAAGGTTGGGGTTACAATATAGAACCCCCCAAAGCTGGCTTCTACAATCACCCTTAATAACTAATCAGGGTTAAGAAGCAGTAAAGGTCGTGTAATTATCTAAGGGATGACCATATGTAGTCACTATGCTCTGTATTAAGTCTTCTCGGTGTGAAGTAATGCTAGTCATTGCTGAATATTGGCTGTGAGAGCTGAAAAACGCTGAAAAATAAATTCAGTAGGTTCTGATCTACTAAATACTCCCAGAAAAAGAACAGGGTGCTGAATTAGTGCCAGTCATACTGAGAACCATCCCTTAGTTCTAGTCTGTGCGCTCAATCAAACCATTTCAAAATAGAGTTAGTTCAGAATTAGCGAGATTTAATTCAGCATTATAGTAAGCCTGGCATATAGTCTTATAATGATAATTGCGAATTACCTCCCCCCCTCTTCGAGTGTGTTGATGCTAGCGCCTATGGGGACTAGTAGTTGTATTATTGGTATTAAAACATCTGGGGAACACTTGAAAAGGAAATTATGAACAGCATTCGTGTGTAATGCCGAGTTGGCTTATTGGTAGATTCAAGGCTATTTGACTTTGACTATTCTTCGCTGCTGCCGGATCCGCTCATATTTCTGATTATGCTCGTTAACGTACATCCAAATCCCAGCCCCTCTAAAAACCTAATTATGTTGTCAGAACCCTTCTGTGTATATTGGTTACTTCACACAGCCAACTAATCACGCAATCATAATCTCAACCTCTTCAGAACACGTTATCCAAATCCTAAACAGAAAGCATACATAGTTCGAGTTCTCTCTAGCACATGTCAGTCTAATTTGTTGTGGAGGGTGAATCACAGTTCAAATTATCCATTAGAAAAACTCCCCATGACTTCTGAATGTGCTTTTATAAGTCCCGAAGTTGCGCCTAAAATTCTGACCCTCGAAAATTCCTAAGTTCACACTAAGTAATTGTTTGGCGTTTTGATGTGTGGATCTAATTCCTATGCCAAAAATGTGTAGTCTAAATGAGATATACAGGCTTGAAAATACTTTCTTAGTGCATATCCACCTACGCTATCACTTATGTCCTTTTAATATGTGGGCGTGGATTTTCCTGGACTTATTTCCATCCATTAAATTTCACTAAATATATCATTCGTTTCCGAAATAGTTTGAGTTTTGATGAAAAACTTACAAAAGTTGATGTGAAGTCATATTTTTCTTGATATATATATATATATATATATATATATATATATATATAATGTCATTAGGTCAATCAGTAGTTTAGTTGAAATAATTCAGACCCATTTTAGAATACAACGTGTCGAGTCACTGCTCTGAGTTATTAAATTCTACCTTTTAATTGCGTTATCCAGCTTTCGCTTGTAAATACTTAGTTATAACATGCAAATAGTGCTAGTGGAAACAGCATCTGATCATTTAAAGAGTTCGGACTTAGTTAAAGTTAGAGGTGTATTTTCTTCATTCTAGATTCCAGACTTACAGCTTTGTTTTTAAACCCCATATTCCTGTCTTTCCAAAAATCATTTATTGTCAGATTATTTTTAGACACTCTGAAAACCAAATAAAGTTAACAATATCAAAGCTTTTATTGTATGTATGAGACAAAAAAAGTATCAGTGGTAACGTTCTATAAGCACTCGTTTTACTTGCACGTTTTTACCTACGTCACATAACCCACTAAGTAAAATTATATGATTATTAGCAAATTGGAGTACCGGCATCGATTCTAGGTGCCATCTATCTGATGAAGATCACGAAGAAAGGATAACAATCATGTTATCCAATTGCGTGTACACCATTCTATATTTCAAAAATGTTGACAAAAATTGTGCTTCATTTGTTGATACTGTGTAACAAACGCATCCTTGAAACACTAAATATGCCATGTGAGACAAATAAGTTCATGATATTTTGGGCGAATAATTTGTGCAGCAATCGGTTACTTTATAAGGATAGGATATTATTACTAATGCATTATGCAGGAATCTTTTATTGGCGCGTGTAGCTACTTATTGAGAGCTTCCAAATACATACCCTATAATGACATGTACTAACGGGATTTATATGTGAGTAAAAGCTTGATGCCTTAATTTCGACTTAGTAAATTTAACAATTGTCACTTTTGATAACGATGCGCAAAAGGAATCTAATTTCATTTATTGGGGCTTTTAATATTTGAGAAAACATCAAAATTCAGTCAGAAAGGTTTCAAATTGTTATTTGGGAGGGTAATAAATATCTACTATGAAACTGAAGACTAATTGTACGGAAAAGTGTAAAAAAGTGATCTATCAATATTTACTGTCTGAATTAACTCTACTATATATATATATAAACACGGGAAAATGAGGCAGGTTTTAAGCCGAGAAGAGAATGTATGGATCACATATTCACCCTTTGACAGATTCAAAAACACTGATATACCTACCAGCACCCTACACTTCCTATATTTCTTGACCTGAAGGCGAAATAAGACTCCGTCGACCGAAATGTGTTGTGACAGTGTTCAGCCGTGAAGCGAATATCAAGGAAATATATTGCACTAATCAAAGCAGCCTGCTCGAACTCATGCAGCCTTGCAAGAGTTTACAAAAAGTTGTCATTTGAAGTGTTAACAGCCAGTGGTGTCAGTCAGGGATGTGCTAATTGACACGACTGTAACTGACTTAAGTAACCTATGGGTTGACTTGTTACCAGACGTTAGTCTTGTTAACGTAGAATACGCGAATGGTGTAGCCCTAGGTCAAAACGCTGACAAAATGCAGTCTTCTGAACACATCGAGTGGAAAGCTTCAAATGCTTGACATGAAATTTGCTCCTGTTTAGTGTAAGGTAATGCTACAGGACTGGAATCCACTGACTCCTAGCTTAAAGATAATGAGTAAAGTCGTGGAGTGTGTTGACCACTTCACTTATTTGGGAATTCGCATCAGCCCTAATGAACTGATTGCTGATGAAATTTCAGCAAGAATACAAAAGGTTGATGCGGCATTTGACAACTTGCATCATCTCTGGCCTATATATCCGGCTGTCAACCAACGGACATGTGTACTGCTTAGCAGTTCTCTTCGTCGTTTACAGCTGTAAGATACGGCCATTGAAAGTGGGGGAAATGAAAAGTCTAGGTGTTCTAAGAGTGATATCGGGGTTAAGCATGCTAGGGAAGGAGGGGAAGCCAATAGATGAGATTATGAAGTTATGTCGATTGAAGTGGATAGGGTACGTGTTACGCATACCTAGTCATCGCTTTCCTCACTGGGAAATGTTAGCTGACACAGAATCAGTCCATGAAATCTTTGATAGTTAGTTTGAGGTATGCAGTAATGTGTAAACTGCTTGGTTGGGGTCATCCGAGTTCTAAGAACCAGTGGCTGGAATCTATTGGTGATATGACTCAAAGTCGTTCTCATTAGCGCAGATGCATTCCCTCTTTGTAGTCTTCCATATCCACTAAACCATGATGTCTTTCGAAGTTATTATTCTTTTTCTCTTACATTTCTTTTTATTATAGTCATTCTGAATCTCTTTTCTACCTTTGTATGCTACTTGGAATGTAGCCAATTGAACTGATGCACTTGTATGTGCAAAGTTCTATATCGGAACTTAGTTAATCATTCAGAAATATTTTTCCCACTGAAATTTTTTATGTAATCACTTATATTAATTATTTTTGAATATGCTTCATATATTTGTGTATTTTGTAAATTACAGACTTATTGTTTGGGCTTATATGAACTGTTCTGTAATGCTGCTGTATTACCCACAGTGATAACTTTATATTGTATTACTTATGGATATAGAAGGTAATACAAACAAAGCTGAAGAGGACTTGGGTCACAATACTGAGTCTGATGCCAAGCCATTTGTGGATAAAAACACACCAGAGCACCCTAATACAGGAGCCGTTGCACGTATACTAGAAGAATCCGAAGTGTTAAAGACCAGTCAATTTAAAGTATCCAAGTTTTCTATTTATCGTTGGTGTATAGGATGTTGATGAGGTTGTTGGTTCATCAAATAATTTAAGTAGTGATGAGAACTCTGAGGGTAGAAGTCGTAAACCATCTTCTACAGAAATAACTATTCCCTCAAGCTCAGAAGAACCTTGTTGGACAGATGACATGCTTCATATCTTTGTTCTTAGTGAGGCTGGTAAACCAATTTATTGGAGGTATGTTAAAATAATGTAAAAGAATTATTCACTAGGTATGGAAACGAAAGTAATGTATCTTCTGTGATGAGTGTTATGCAAGCGCTTGTTTCTTTTGTTGATAACTCTGGTGACGAACTGCAAGTGATAAATACATCTGATAAAAAGTTCCTGTTCATTTCCCGTTCACATCTAATCCTGGTAGCATTCAGTCCGATTTCTGAGCCTACCTTGCATTTGTTGAATTGTCTTAACTATGTTTACGATCAGGTTTGTTTTACTGCACTATTTTGCTCATAATTTTATTACTATGCATAAGAGATATAAATATTAACAAAATATCGACTTGATATCTAGACTACATTTCTTCTGATTCGCTTGTGAAATATGCGAATCCTCCTTACGAGTAAGGAAATAGAATTATGAAGCATTCTGCAAATTGGTTGAGAAATCCTTTAGGAAAAGAATAACTATCCTTTCTTTTGTGCTTGGTAACATCTGTTCTATATTTAAATGTACCCCCACAAACGACCTGGTACGTCCAAGGGTGGGTTGACTTCGGCCTCCCTCTCCAAATACTCTCATATGACCATGTGTTCATAGAGTCCGCCAGGTAAGTCCCATTCATTGCCTTCATGCGGTCGGGGTGTCCCTTACAAAATTAAAAAGGCGAATTTGAACGCCTGGAGCCTACAACCGGAGTAGTGATGGCGCAGGTCTACCTGCTGAACCTGGAAAACCCTCATTCTAAACATATGGTGTTCATGATCTCCAAAATACAAACGGATCAACTGGCGTATGAACCTGTTTTAGTCACTGTCAACCATGGGGAGGTAGCTGCTGACTCTGCTCCGTTTCCTTGTGGTTCTAATTTCTGGTGAAAACCTCAGGGAGGATGATCCCTCAAGATAACCACCTGCTTCTATTGCAGTGCCCGAGTAGTATTCCAGCTCCTTCACAAACTATGCGTTTTTGTGTGGCACATCTTCGAGTGCCCATAATGTACCAAGTTTGCTTTAATAAAATAAAACTATTTAAATGCTAAGTTTTTCACTACATGGAAGTTACGAAATAAATTACAAAATTTAATATCAGCAATATGAGAAGTGGCGTCGGTGGCATAGCGGTTAGGACGCTCGCCGACCATGCACATGGTCCGGAGTTCGATCCCCGGCCGCCGACGCACGCCTTTACCTCGCTGAGCCAGAAATAATCCTGAGATATATCCGTTAAAGTCTCAAACCATCGAGACGCTTGATATTTCCTACCCTATGTAAGGAATTCTGACCTCAAACAACTGGTTCACGACTAACTGCCCCCCTCTATCTTTTTCAACCAGTTCTATGGCTGGGAAAGAATTTACAGTACAAAAGTCATCTGGACGACATTTGTACCACATGTTCAAAGCATCAAAACCAATTTCTAAAAAGACTAGATTTCGAGAAAAGCATGTCATTTCATTTCAGAGTTACATGTCTTCAGAGTTGAACTGATTATAGAAAGGTTTGGACTGTGCAGTTACCGTTCACTTAGCAGCCTCGTTTAGTTAAGTGCTTAGTTATGTTAACCTACTATCTTAGTAAAAACTACTAATTTTCGGGAAGCAAGTAGTGCATAAAAATTAAGATCATCTGAATCCTCTGATCGGGATTAATTGTCTTGAAATTATTTGGAGACACCAAACGTTACTTAACGGAGTTTCGAATAAAAAACCTCCTCTGCAATTTGTGCGATGCATCTGTTTTTCATTACTTCTTTAAGAATTATTACATTCCTCGTATTGGTAAAGTTGTCCCTTGAGTTTTGTTGTTGTCATTGTATTGTTATTACTATTATCATTACCACTACCGATTTCGAATTTCAGATAATAAGTTCACTAACTGTACAGAGAGTGGAAAAACAGTTTACAAGGCATGCAAATTTAGATCTGCGCAGACTTCTTGTTGGAGATAGTCGGCTTTTATCTTCTATCATCAATCGTGTAGAAGAATCTTTCGGTGTTTTATTGAATGCTATCAGTTGTACACCTTTATCAGAAAATATTCGGTCTGCAATCTCACAGATTATTCATCATAGTGCTAAATTACGTGTAAGTTATATGTGGAGTAAAACATGTTCTTTTGTGTAATCAATTCTTGTGATTCGCAATTGCTTTAGACGATTACAATGCTTATAATTTTCCAACTCTGATCCGAAACTAATACAGACTGTTCCCTTGATCATTTTCGTCAAAGTTAGAAGAACAAAATTCGCACATTTCATTTCTAGGCTTCTCTTCAACTGCCGACAACTTGAAATATACATAGTGTTAGCAAAATAAAATGAGACCTTACATTTTCCCTAATGGCATGAAGATAGTAGTTCAAGGAGATAACAATGAATGAACTGTAGTGGCATAATCAGTTACAAATAACACAAAAAGAAAGTGATTATTTAGTATAAGTTTGGGAGAGTATTGAAGAAGTTCTGTTAGCTGACCTAACAACAAAAGATCACTAATAGACCAACAATGTACTGGAATAAAGGGATTAAATAATACCACACGAGTATGGATTTGGAAATGATTAGAAATCAGTTAAGACCCGTAGGTCAGAAAAAAAACCGTAATGACAATAATAACAAGAATAGTAAAGAAATGAACAACAAAACACATTGTGTAGTAAGTGGGAAAAAGATGTCACCAGGATAAAATGAGACTAATTACTGGTTATTTCTCTATGATGAAAACAAAACACGTAGATCAGCGAAGAGTCTCTTTTCGGCGAATTCATTTTCTTAGCTGTACAATCGCACATATATATGTGTTATTTTGTATGTATGTGTACATTAAGTTTGTCAAACAAAATTACAATTGGTTAAGGTTACTTTTAACTAAACAGGTGAAGGTTGGTAATACAGGTCAAGAAAATTAAGTGTGAATGAAACTAGGGTAGTACCAAAGGTGATGAGTCGTCACAAACAGTTGTAATAATAATATGAATAGTTTGATGAGTGAGTTTTACTCAGGATGCACATAGAAACAAAGTAGATAATACGAAACTATGTAAGAGATTTAAGTGAATACAAGAATTATAAGCAATTAAGGAACAGGCAAAAAAACAAAATTAAGTCATCAAAATAAAAATAAAAACAAATCAAAACATTGTTACCATGAGAGTAGAAGTGGTTGAGTAATCTTCTTTTGTATGCACAGCTCCGGTTTTTCCATGTGAATGGCCAGAGCTTCAGCGATGCAAAGGAGACGAAACCGTATTGCCTTTGATATGTTATTCTTGACTCTGTAGATTACTTTGAAGGAGGCGTTCGTTGAAATGCAATGATCAGTGTTGACCAGGTGTTCAATTATCGCACTCCTTATTGCACCAGTATTGCCTTTTCGCAACCATGCTGGATAATGTTCTTGAATTCTCTTGGACAGGATGCGCGTCGAACGACCGATGTACCTGGCTCCACAGCAGCAGGTGAACTGGTATATGCACATAGAAGTGGCCAGATGCGGGATCTTGTCCTTGAGGCTTCTGCAGATCAGTGGGCGACTGGAGAACACTATTCGTAGCGTTGCTGCAAAGAACGTTCTTCTCAGAGATGATGTGATCCTTCTCTTGAGAATATCGCTTGCTAAATCTCCCTTGAAATCCAAATTCATGTAGATTTTCTTTTTAGGCACAGTTAAAGTTTCGTTTTTCCGAATTATTGGTTTCATATTTTTGTCGATAAATCTTATTGGGTATCCATTTTGGATGAATATTTCTCTCAGAATATCTAATTCTGTTTCCAGAACGTCGGGACTACAGATGCGTCGGATGCGGGTAGCAAGTGATTTAATTAAGTTTCGCTTTTGTTGAATGGGCACCCAGCTATAGAAGCTTGTTAGTTGACCATTCCACGTAGGTTTTCTATGGATTGATCTTCTTAGGCTCCCATCAGCTCTTCTTGTCAGTTCCACATCAAGAAACGGAATTTTTGACTCGTTTTCCATTTCAAGAGTGAATTTTATTGCTGGATGGCAATTGTTAAATGTCTTCAGCAGCAGATTGGGGTCGTTGTTGTTGTCACAAATAATGAAAATGTCATCCACGTATCTTTTATACAGTCGCAAATTGTCGATGCTTGGCTTTAGTGAACCTCTCTCGAGGCTTGCCACGAAGCAATCTGATAGTAGTGGACCCAACGGAGATCCCATTGCAATACCATCCTTTTGTCTGTAGATGGTGTCGTTGAATGTGAACTGGACGTTCAGAGTGCATCTCAATAATAGTTCTTTCAAGTATGTTGTCGGTATTCCAATATCGAGGTGGTTGTCATCTATATATCTGCATATGAAGCAGACCGTTTCTGTGAGTGGGACATTGGTGAAAAGTGACTCGATGTCGAAGGACAGCATAATTTTGTTAGATACATTCGTGTCTTGTATGCACTCGATGAACTGGAAGGTGTCACGGAGCGAGTACGTACATAATTGCTTCCTTACAGGTTCCAGAATATCTGCTAGCCATTGTGCAATAGAGTGGTAAGGGGAACCTGACATATCCAGAATTGGACGAAGTGGGAGACCAACCTTGTGTACCTTTGGTAGACCATAAAGTCTTGGTATTATTGAACCTGTTGGCCGGATCTGATCGTAGATATCCCCACTGATTAGTTGACTGGCCTTCATTCTCTTCAAGACATCTGTGAGCTGCTTCTCAATCTGTTCCGTCTTGTTTCTTTCATTGGAAGGTTGGGAAAATTTGTCTTCATTCGACAGTATATCGTTCATTTTCTCGATGTAGTCTCTTCGATTCAGAAGCACTACACCCGCACCCTTGTCGGGTCGAGTTATAAGTAGATCTTTGTTATCTCTCAACTGTTTTAATTCCTCTCGGTGCCGCTTCGTTAGGTGGTTGCGGACTTTTGATTTTGAATTCAAGTATTGGTGGCAGCAGTCCATGATTGTTGACTTGAATCTCTGTAATTCGTCTTCAGAAGTTGGGCTGAGATCGTGCGTTTGGCTGATTAGATTTTCAAACTGGACCTGAGTATGGAGTTTGTCGGAGTTGAAATTTATATCGCAGAATTTAGGGCCCAGAGATAGGACTTCCAGTTGCACGTCGGTTAAATGTACTGAGGAATAATTGAACACAAACTTCGTGGGTTCGTCAGGAAATTTGCCTTGAGGTTTCATCTGCTGTTGTTGAGCTGGGTTACGACAGACTGCGACCGTTTATTCGCAACCAAGTCGATATATTCGGTGAATCTTTGACGTTCATCCGAAGTCAATTCGTATAAGGCAGAGGACCTCTGATTGATATTCCGCTGCAGTTCGGGCATACGTGATCTGATAGAATCAGCACAATTCATTGCATGGCGTTGAAGGGACTTCGTATTTGGATATATATGATTGCGTCGCAGTGCTTTCCAGAACCACTTTGGATACTGATGATTGGAGACGCAATCCTCGAAAAAGCCAACTTTCGCTTTCCCCACAGCAAGCTTGACAGAGTACCGCAGAAACCCATTGAGTTCCTTGATTGTCGAGGGGTCATGGATAATCCCCATCCAGGCATTAATGAAAACAAAACACGTGTAAAGTAAACGATTAATTTTGAATGGCGATTTTCGATTCCGAGTACTTAATAAATAAGTAATTAATAATTAATAAACACTCAGTATATTTGGAAAAGAGTTAAAACCTAATTATTTGTCACGTTTTTCATCTCATTTAAACCAAATATCAAATATTATATCTGGCAAACTAAGTTTCAGCTCAAAACTTTTCAAAGGAGTGCAGCAGTTCAAGTCACCACACTACATGGCACTCAAAGGTTGACAAATGAGGGAAAAAGGAGACTCAAAAGAATTTCAATAAACATAAATGTACGAGTGAATGACTAGTAACATTGAGAAACATAAAGACTTAATGTTCCTGGGAGATTTCAACGAGTGATTACATCTGTGCGTTATTGAGAACAATGTTCACCTGTATCACCAACAGTCTCAAGCCATTGAATCTTAGCATTCGGAGGACGCCTATCAGGGAGTATACACTTTCCTTCATCATTAGCTCAATTCAGCTGTCAGTGACTTTATGGATGAATGCTGAGTTTGAGTTTGACCACCCCTTAGCTCTTTTCTAATCTAATTATATGTCAGCTAACATTGTTCGACGAGAGAGAGGTGGTGGCTCGGAATTGGTCAGCAGAATTAATTAGTCAACTTGAAAACAGGCCAGTCAAATGTGTAATGCATAATTGTATTAGATATTAGCAAAAGTGTTCAGTGAAGTTCTACATGAAGATTTATTTATTATTCCCTTGGGTTTCGAGCGGAACACAAGGCTTCAACAGCACATCTCATCACACATCACATTTCTAATTCGGATTCTATTTTAGGGCGTACCACGTGATTTTACTCAACGGTCTTCCTTAGCATGTGATCAATTCATCTCCAGTTTCTTCAGAATATTTGTTGAGCAATAGGTTCTTGGTTGGTCAGTTCCCAGAGTTCCTTACTGTTAATTCTTTCTGGTCATGTTATCTCCAGTGTCGAGCCAGTAAAGGCAGTTGTTGATAAACGTTTGCATAACACATGAAAATTTCAGTCTATCTATTCAGATATCATTGGTGTCATTAACTAATCATTAACTGCTCTTTACTGTTTGTTTGTTTTTTAATTTGTTTTTCTTTAAATTAGGGTTTAGTTTTTGCCATTTTATTTCATAAAGACGATATTATCAGTATTGTGCGTATGAAAAATTATCATCTTTGCCCATCAGATATTCACCTACTTCTAAATCTTATTGGTAGTTCACAATCTTTCAAGTCAGTACAATCACATTGGTTACCGATTTGTTTGCCTAAATTTGATCCAAAGTAAGTGCATAAAACAAAAACATTTTTTGTTTTAGATCAAATAAAAAGCTTAGTTACTCAGTAGATTTTTTATCATCCACTCAAAAGTGAGTTTGTAGGGATCTGACTTGTTTCGCATCTGATCTTTAGCTGACATCAGTTACAGAACTGTTAAAAAACTAGGCAGCACTGCTTGCTCACTAGCGATTGGTTACAAGACAAGGTCGTCTGAAGTTCTAGTGAGAAGTTATGGCCAGTGGAGTTCACCAAGTCGGACGGGAGGACAAGTACTCGTCGACGACATTGGCCGGTAGTCGCACTAAAGTCATGAATCGGTGGAAGTTAGAATTCATGAGTCATTGAGTCGGATCCTAGTGGCTGAATGATCAACGGGCTTGCCTTGTAACCTGAACGTTGTCGGTTCGAATCCCAGCGGGTACGTGCTACTGAAGAGCTACAAATTAGGACTCCCTGGTTTTCCAATAGTTCTCTAACTGTGATCAAACTTGAAACAAGTCATTCATTTAATTTTAAACCGTTGACAGGATTTGTTTCTCTCGGAGGGTAGTACTTATCAAAGTACTGTCAACAGTATGAATTTTGATGTACTGTGAGCATTATACGTTGTGGTTCATTGGATTAGGCATTTAATTTTCAAACAATAATTCGTAAGTTTGAAACTGGCTAAGTAGTATCATTAGCCTTCACACAACAGGTAAAGCTCATTTCTTATTGTGCCATCTCGAAGAACGTGACGTTGAAAGGTATTAATTGCCAGTTCACGTTCCTTTTACATCTCACAACAAGAATATGTTGATTGCTTTCCATTACGAAGTATCACTTCTTTATATAATTATTTCCCTTGATAAATATAAAGAAAGCAAGAAAAATATGTTGACCAGAATAAGGCGACGTCATTATATTTCATTGGCTCTTGCCAGCTACATGCGACCATTAGGAATTTAATATTAATATACAAAATATTCAGATACTGTAGTTATTTGTCACAAAAGTGACAATTCACATCAATTCACAGCCTAAGAACATAAACTAGCTGTGAAAAGACATGGCATGTATTTAGACAATTACGCACACCGATATGTTTGGGAAAAAGGTGGAAATTTCAAACAGTTGAGATACTAAAACCGCCAGGGAATTTAAAGCAGCCTGATGCTCAGACAAATTAACAACGAACAGACACATTACTATAAATCGAACTTACCGACTAACATTACAAACTTTACTAATAGAATACCAGACTGTATCAAACAAAGACTCATGACACTAATTACGACTTCATCTGAAGTCAAAGTAATCAAAAATAAACCACATGACAAAAAATTCAAATCTGAAGTGAATAAAAACGATCAATACGGGTGGAAATTAACAACCGACCACGGCAAAGATTGTCCGGAGATAGAATTATATCATTCATGGAAAATTTCAATAAGTTTGCTCCGCATTAAAGCTTGCACTGAAGATGTTGTCTAGAAGGACAGCGAAAGCTTAGCAATTTAATCAACCACCTCAGAGAAAGTAACGGCATCAAAATCTTTTAGGTTGTCTTAGTTGTGTGAAAAGTTAGGGAAAAAGTTATTGTTCGTGCACTTATACCATAGTTTATTAGCAAATTTATATCAGTGATTTATCATATAGTCAAAAGCTTTTTTGGATTAAAAGAGAGGAGCCTGTTAGTAGTATTCTTGTGACAAGTTAACTCATTTGGTATGACTAAGCTGCGCGGGGTGGTCGTTAAGGAATTGGTTACATGGAGTTATTTTCTCAAAATCAGTGGACACGCGAATTACTCTGAAAACTCTTCAATGTGAATTACTTACTTTTGATCGGTGATAAAACATACAAATGCATAAGTTATCCATGTATATTAGTATCTGAGTAAAACTATGAAGCTTTGCAAATGCTTACAAGGCTGCTTAGAAAGAGGAAGAGAGGTTTGCAAACAGAAAACAGAAACATAAGTCTAATGAATTCCCCTATGTAAGATTAAACATATTGAAAAACTCTCTCATTCCCAGGGAACACTGGATTCTTCAAGACCGCAGGGACTTCCTGCTGATGACTACTGATAAGCGCGAGACGTAGATAGAAAACTTCTCATCGATTATTTCCTGTCTGTCTGTTTTCGACATAGAACTTTGCACCGATATGCGGCAGTTCGAGTCGCCACACTACATGTAGCACACAAACCAGCAGAAGAAAGTAGAAGAAATGCATAATAGAGACAGTAAGTTGAAGTTTGAGACAAAGGAGTAGTAATAACGAAGAGCAATATAGTTTCACTGGAAATTATAAGTCACAAGGAGTGAATGGATCTTTACCATTGAGGACGATTTTAAGCCATATCACCAATAGTTTCCCAGCCGTTGGTTCATAGAATCCTGATGACCGCAACCAGCAGTCTACACATTACTGCATGGCTCAGACTAACTGTCAAAGATTACATAGACTGATGCCATGTTTTGGTTTGACCGCTACGAGGTCTTTTCCAACCTGATCCAATGTCAATTAACATTGCTCGACAAGGAAGGTGATGGCTCGGAGTGTGCATCTTGTGTTCTAACTGTTTCACAATCTCATCGATTGACTTTTCTTCTCTACCTAATACTCGACGCCTAACCTCAGTATTACTCACTACACTGCACCACCGAGTGGAATATAACACTTCAAGCTTTGAAGTTTTAGTAGCAGTGATGGTGGCTTTACAGGGCGGGGTTTCTAGCCTTTCGTTCAACCTTTCCTATTTTCATGGTTTAATAACGACTAATCGGTATCTAGGAGTTCGTTGACTGGAAATCGAACATGGACCTCCCACGTAGCTGTCTTTCATTCTACCACTGAATAGTTGGAAAATAATAATAAATTATGGACAGCTGTCCAGTACTCCCAGGTTTTCCAATGGTTCTCTAACTAATGTCAGCTCATGATGAAATCATGAAGCCAATCAAATCCCTACAAACCAACACTTCAATAATAAATTATCTTTTGAAGTATATACTTTGGTTAAAAATTTGCGAGATTATTATCTCATATTAGTTAGTACTCTTAAGACCCACCACTTACCAATTATTGTTTTCATTTCAATTTTTTCTCTTTTTTTATAGCGGATTTTTGTATGCCAATGTTACCTACTTAAATGATACCACATTTTTAGTTTTACTTACTGTTGATAGTGGTCAGTTTTATCCACTCAAGGCGATCACTGAAAAAATATTTAGAGTAAGCCTCACATTTTTAAAGTTATTATCATAGTTTCAGTATCACTGATTACCAGAATATTTAATGTATTGCTATCATCTATATGCTTAAGTTTAATGTCGTTTGTCGTACTTAATTGGTATTGATTTTATGAGCACAATAGCCTTTTAGATTATGAGATTTGTGGGAATTTTGGATCAGTTTTTATTGTAAGATTTTCTTCATGAACCAACACCAGCTAGAGAAATCATTAAAAACCAGGGATTACTGGGAAGCTGTTTTGTCCTATTTCAGGACTCCTCACCAGTAAGTACCCACGACCCTGCCTTGGATTGAACACGGGACCTTCATGTTACGAGCCCAAGCTCGTCGACCACTCAACCACTTGGGTTGAAATTCATTGACCCATGAATTCGGAATTTCTCATCGATGCCTTGGGCGAACACCCACCTCACCTTGACATGGTTGATCCCAGTGGTCAGTAATTCCCACTTCAGGTGCAAACAGTCAGTTCATTAGCCATCAATGAGCTGACATTTGATGTCCCACAAATCCTATAATCTCAATTACTCCCTTTCCTAGAGTGAGTAAATAATGTTGTTTGAATGATGATGCCGAATACTAATATATAAAACGCATGCTTTTGTACTATTTAGAACCCACAAAGTGTTTCTACTGTGATCGAAACCACGGCTAATCATTATTATTATTATTATCATCATCATCAAAAAATAACATAAACTGTACCAATGTTAGTGTGTCGGTGGTTCAATGGTGGCAAACTCGCCACCCACCCACCTACGTGTCTGGTGGTCTGCTGCATCTTCCCGACGAACTCCCAAAATCCCGGCTAGTATGCTGTGTAAAGACGGTTGGACGCGAGGCTAACTACTCCACTCTGTAAAAACGCCACCGCTACTGAAAATTCAAAAGCTAAAGCTTGAAGCTTTATTTTTCACTCGGTATGTAAAAAATGAAATGCCAATAGTAAAATAGTCCCAATAGAAAGGGATCGATTCGATCAAAATGCAGTAAAACAAACGGGGAGTGAATTTAATGTTGAATATATTTTATTTAAGTGTTACATTTAAATTTACACGTCAGTACTTTCGAATTTAGCAAGTGTATAAATTGAAATTAAGATTAAAGTCATTTGGTCGAAGCACCACAGCCAAAGTCAGGGTCTTTCAAAAGTTGACCTTCAAGAACCTTCAAGATACAGGGAATGCTATAAAATGTCAAATAATGCATGCCTTTGAGGACTTGGAGAGGGTAGATACCGTATTCCACTTATTTCCTAGGTACTTTTCCTGCAAAGCTGTACCGTTAGGTAGGGTTATGGCTTTTAAGATTAAGGGTTTAGGATCTAGGGCTAAGGTTATGTTTGCAGTTAAAGTAAGGGGTAGGAGTTAGGATTATGGTCAGAGTTGGTAGTAGGTTGAAGAACAGTGTCAGAAATATGAGTGGATCACAAATTACTATGGAATACAGTCGCTTAAATGAATGCACATGTCGCTCATGGTATAATTTCTCTATTGATCATCTTTGTAGTGACTGGGAGACATTCTTACAACACATAAGTCACAATTATATAGTGTAATATCATGTTTGCAGTATATTTTTGGTGTATTTTTCTGACAATTAGGCGAATGTTTTGCACCTGAATTCCGATTGGTCGTCTAAGGAAACTTTGTTTTTATCTATGATAGTTTAACTTTGGTGTCATTTTCATTCCTGTTACAGTTTACGTGCTCTGAAAAATTTCACATGACTTTCTGCTAACAATTATTGACTTAGTATATGGGCTTATTATGCAATTCACTGTTCCGGGTGAACAAAAGCAATAAAGTTTAAATCTTTGAAAAATCCTAAAGGCAGAATAAGCAGCGAAGACAAGACTGCAAGTTAACACGAGGAACATAGAAGTGATAAAGACATTTAACCAACGACAACAACAATAACGACCACGAATCACTGTCAATGGGAGAACTTTGAAGGAGGTCACTTCTTATTCTGTTTCCTTAGCAGTATCATTTCAGCTATAACCGGCATGGATGAAGATGTCAATCCCAGACAGGCCTTGATTACATTGAAGTCAGCGTGGAAACCGGCTGCACTCAGCATAAGGAACAAGATACGGTTTCTCAATACCGATGTCAACTCAGGGCTTCTACATGATTCAGAGACCTGGCATTCATGTCACCCTAAAGCATTTTCAATGGTCTTTTGCAAACTTTCATGAACAGCTGTCTTCACTGCATAGTGGAAATCAGATGTGTTGGAGAGGATAAGGAACAAGGAACTTCACCGAGGAGGGAACCAACCAATAACTTCTCGCCTAGCAAAAACGCATAAGAAAATTGAGATGGATCAGGTATACTCTGAGGCGAGAGGTTCATGCCGTCACGCATTCCGAGGGTGTGTGTCCGAGGGTGACATTGAGGAGATAGTATTAAAAGATGAAAGTTTATGGACAACAGTGGATCCAGATGAAAAGGAACGCAGATAACAGAGTGAAATGGTGATGTGCTGTTGAAGCTTTATATTCCACTGGGAATCCGAAGGAATAATATAATAATAAGGCTAAAGTCCCTGAGGGTTAATCAATGTGTTCGAAAGTTTCTAGAAAAATCATATATGTATGAGCTACAGATTGACTGAAAAAATAAATTTAATAGGAACTGTGTTTCTCTTAACAAACCATTGAAGTTGATCTCTCACCGTCTGTTTTTGTCCAAGTTGCTTAACTTGGAACCTTAGCTTTACAGACCTTAGTCACTTCTTCAAACTGTTCAAGTTTGCTATATCTAGTGTGGAAGCGGACTGCATATTATCTTCGCTGAAATAGTGTTCCATTCATGTCATGAAATTTCCACTCGGTTATTATTGTGGCCAGTTAGTCCAGTTTCCTATTCCTCTGCTAACACAACATGATTTTTATCTCTCTTTTCACAGTGATAATTATTTACGTTTATCGTTAGAAATTTACTTCTTTCTTTATTTTATTTGTAAAAAAATTAGTCACTGAGCACTACAAATAATGGTGATTATTTATCTGCAATATCATCATCAAAACTTCCACAAATATCTGACACTGGTATTAAGAATCTACGACATTTTGTATACAAGTCTATTCCTATCGCTCAATATATTACCAGTCAATGGAGTGTACCATATACTGTTATGAGTAAATCTGAACTAACCAATACTTCCCTGTCTAGTTTAAATCCTGAAAGAGAATCTGCATCAATCAATAGTGATGCTGCCATTCAGAAATTACGTCGAGATGTTTTATTATCCTATAAACGTTTGCATATGAGATTGCATTCACCTACAATGTCAACTAAATTTATCTATAAAGTGACAACTACTGAATTACATTTCGGTTGGGTAAGTATTTTAAGTATTTATTAATCTTTTTTTCGCCAGTGTGTTTGAAAGAGAGAGAGAACTTGTTAGAACTCAGTTATATGGAACAGGTTTTCCATATTTCAGGCCATGAGTCACGTTTATTGTGTTATAAAATGAAACATTAGACACCGACCACTTGCAGTCCTATGCAGTTGCCAATACACTACACCTGTTGTATGTGAAGGTTAGTGTGATACTACCTGGATGCCCAAACTTTGGTCGGTCGGCCGGGGTTCAAACCCGTGACATTGCTTAGAAGTTGAGCGCTCCTAGATCAATAAGCCACAACTTTAAACACACACGCATTTATTTTGTTAGGGCTGATGATGCTATTTAGTTACCGTGGTCGAAGTGGGTGGAGTGGGGTGTGAACGTAGAACCAGTCGGCTGAAAGCCGAATGATCAAGCCAGTGAAGGATATCTTCACGTGTGTGTGTGTGTGTAAACTAGCATCATTCTGCTTATTAAAAAGGTTTTACTCACGAAATAAATTCTTTCTTAGCGGAGAATACTATTTCCTTATTTTCCTTTTGTAAGATTCTTTCTACTCACATTGAAACTATACCTTCATTAGTACATAGAAATGTTAACTTATTTTAATAAAACTACATACTACTGATTGATCGAGATGAGTAGTTGTATACCACTCATACCAACTAGACAGCCGTTTTGATTGTTTGGGACCGAATTCATCAACGGTACACTCGATTTAACTCAGCTCAAAGAGCTGAATCCGTTCAAACCAGCTAATTTCTAGCCAGCTACTTAAGCGAACTGACATTATCATGAGTCAAACTGACAACTTACAAATTAGTTCACAATATACACAAGTTCAAGAAGATGAATGTTTATTAGAACCTGGAACTATTTTCTATGATGTACATATAAAATGTCATGATGCATTACCCACTCATATATTTTCATTCCTCCCATTTTTATTCAGAAAACTGATACTTTCGAGTTGTATGCAACACTGGAACCGATCATTACAAAAGAAGAGTTAGGCGAAACTCGTAAACAATTAGTTAAATGGATTGAATCAAAGAAAACGCAATTCTTTATTCTCTCATCACCTACTTTTTAAGCAGTACTTTTGTACATTTTACTTATTTTTGTATATTTCACCTCTTTATACATTTTGATCAAGTGTAATAATCCTGATAATATTCCGTGTGTGTTTGCGTGAGGGCGTGCGTGCGTGTATGCACGTGTGTTTATTGTGTATAACCATGTGATTATCTTCTTTCTTCAATTATTTTACTTCTTTATGTGATTGTAAAGTACCTTTTGTTTTTGCTGAATAAGTGTAAATATTTTGGATTGTATAATATCTTAGCTACAAATATGCATAATAACTATAATGGCTTTATTCTGCACAATATATTTATAAGTTTTGATCATGCACCCATGACCCCCACCGTCAGGTACTGGATCCAGAATGGTTCAGGTTACGAAGCTAGTCCGTTGACTATTGAGCTACCGGGGTGAAAGCCAACGGTGCATAAATTTATAACATCAGCCAATTCTCCACCGCCAATCAATAAAATTCCTACAAACAAACGCTTGAAAATTAATCTAATGCTCACTAATGACTAATTATAGGGCGTAGCTGCCTGAAGTTCTAGTGAGATTTATTGAAAAGTGGCGCCCACCAAGTTGGGTATGACAGAAAATACTCTACGATGACGGTCGCCCTATATATATACTGCAAAGTAGCAGAGGTCTGTATTTTTGGTGGGGCCTTTGGATTCCGTCTCATTGGCTGGATGATCAACGAGCTTGCCTCATAACCTGAATGTTACAGGCTCGATCCCTGACTGTTGGTAGATAAGTGCGTAATACCATAGAGCCACAAACTGTCCAATACGCCCTACTCGGTTTTCAATGCTTCTCTAACTTAACTAAAGTCAATGCGTGATCGAAACTTGAAATCGGTCCAATCCCTAGGAAAAGGACACTTAAAAATATGTATACACACAATACAGAATTCTCAGCATAATTCTTTACAAAATATTTATTCTTTGTATATAATCTTCAAGTAAAATAGTAAGTATTTATTTGGTGGATGGTGACTAGCAATGGAATCCAGGATGCGCATTTCGTCCTATTTGGGACTCATCACTGGATGTACTTGCATTTCTCAGTGAGTGATTATGTTCCCACCGAGACTCGAACCCAGTACCCATAGTATTAAACGTCAAGGCGTTATCCACTAGACCATCTGCCAATTAAATTCTTATTACGTGCCCAGACATCGTCGAAGCATCTGCACAAGAAGCCGACATGTCAACCTGAGACCGAGCACTTCGGTCCAATCAATCGACGGGAAAATCTCAAATTCAATTAAAATTTAAAAACATAGTAAGTAATTCGTAGTATATTCTTTGGTACAACGTTGTTCGATCTGAAACAAGATTCAATCCTCTGCGATCATTTTTCTTCATTTTCTTCTTGAAGTTCACACAACAGTGTAGGCTGAAAACCATCCAAAAATGTGGGTCTTTGCATGCTACGATCCAAGAATATAATTAGATGATTAAAATAATAAGAAACGGAGAAAGGTTGATTTATAATGTATAAAAATTTAGGTAGCCTAGTGGTTTAGGCAACGTGACTAAGTGGTATTGTTATTAGGTGACATAAAAAGATTAATGAGTTAATTCATGTGTTTTGAAAATGTGATTTGAAAAAAGCGTTAAGAAATTTGGTGAAATGGCTGCATTTTTTAACCGATTCACTTATATGGGCTGCTGATTCAATCCTAATGGATTGATTGCTGATGAAATCTCAGCGCGAATACAAGATGCTTGCTTCATCTTTAGTGATGATTTATTATTATTATTATATTATCGTTTCCTTTGGTTCCTAGAGGAATATAGGGCTTCAGCCTCACACCTTCATTGCGTTCGGTTCTATGCCAACATTTTCACCTGGCTTCATGTCTGCCCACATACTTTCATCTCCTCTTCACATGGCCTCCTCCATGTTAGCCTCGCAATGACGACCAACTCGCCACTTCCCTTTCGGGTTCCACTCGAGGGCATGTCGTGTGATGTCACTTGATGGTTTTCTTAAGGTATGGCCATTCCACCTCCATTCCATCCTGCTTATTTGTTGTACAATCGGTTCCTGCTGGGTTGGTTTGCTCCCAGAGATTCCTGTTGCTGATCTTTTCTGGCCATCTGATCTTGACTATGGAGCGATGACAGCTATCGATGGAGGTCTGTAGTTTGTTTGAGGTGTTCTTTATGAGGCGCCAAGTCTCTGTTCCGTATAGTAGCACTGACTTCTCATTGGAGTTGAAAATCCGGATCTTATTTTTGATGGTGAGTGCTGTTGACCTCCACACAGACTTGAGAGTAATGAAAGCTTGCCTTGCTTCCCCGATCCTTGCTTTGATATCCTCGTCAGTTCCGTCTGTAGTTGGAACGATGCTTCCCAGGTAGGTAAAGGAGGTCGTTGCTTTCAGGTTCCTCCCATTTATGCTGGCTGATTGTTGTCTGTTGTTGTTGGTGTTGTCCAGGAATCTTCATCATGGGATGGATAGAGGCATAATGCTTCGTCAGTTCTTGCAGCGGCTTAAGTCTCCTTTCTTTGGCAGTTTGAATAAGTGTAACAACAGAAGACAAGGGCCAGGTAACAGATCGTTTTATTATGAAAATCAACACGTATTTATATATATTTCACATAGATTATTATAGCTTATGCAAGTAGACAAGCGCAGTCATCTGATTGGTTGTTTATCAGAAGTTAGGCAGACAAACGCAGGCTTCTGATTGGTTGTTTCGGGATTCCTCGAAAAATAGAGTTCTCTATCTGCGAATCATATTTTGCCACGTTAACTTTGCTGCGATTGGTTGTTGAATCAGCCTTGTACAAATATTTTCACGGCCTGCTCTCACCACATAAGTAGCCTTAGTTTCAATCCGCAGGTACCTTTCCCTCTTTCCACACCCTTTCTAGTAGTGGTGTCATCAAGCCCACTGATGTCTCCGGGTCCTTTTCGATGCCTCTGCTTGAATCCCGTCTGGTCCTGCTGCTTTTCCAGTTTTTAGCACCTTGACTGCCTTCAGGATTTCTGTTCTTGTATGAGTGTTAATGTTGGTATTATTCAGCGCGTTGTAGTTGACGGTCGATTTAGAAGTCTTTTGAAGTGTTCAGCTCAGTGTTTCCTTTGCTCCACGTCTTTGATGACTGACTTTCCATTGTCATCCTTCACTGGCTTAATTTGTGTTGATCTCTTCCCCGATAGGAACCTAGTTGTTTGGTATAGTGTTGCGAGGTCTCTTTTGCCTGCAGCTTGTTCTGCTTCGCTTGCCACAGCTTCATAATATTTTATTTTTCTTTCCTGGCACTCTTCTTTACTCTTAAGTTCAGTGTATTGTAGCTTGCTAGTCGATGCACCGGATAATCTTTTGTTTCACCATCCTTCCCTCTTCTATTAGTCTCCGTGTGTACGTAGTGAGCCACTGTTTGCCCTGTTTCTTCTTTCTGCTTAGAACTTCCATACAGGTTTGACTCCACACTGCTTTTAGGCTGTTCCAGTACTTCTCAACGCTGACCTCTTCGCTAGCGTTGATTTGTGTCTCCGCCTTTTTTCTTATGTTTGCAGTGAAGATATCCTTTGTTAGCTGATCGTACAGTTTTTGAGCACTGAACTTGGCTTGTAGAGTGTTGATGTGATAACCATCAAAACACGTGTATGGTTACAAGATTTCATCATGAGGTGACATCAGTGAGACAACCACTGGATAACTTGGGAGTACTGGATATCTAGCTGCCTTGTCCTAGTCTGGGACTCTTCAGTAGTATGTACCCACTGGGATCCTAACACAGGACGTTCTGGTTACAAGACAAGCTCTTAGACAATCAAGCCACTGAGAGGCAGTCGAATGGCCCATGAATTTTGCCAATTCACGACATAGCGCAACCAATAGCCAATGTCATCGGCCAGTCGCTACCTATTCAGGTAGATAGTTACCTGGGATTCTAATGGGAAGTCGTCACCAGTGAGGTACAGAAGGTCAAGCGTGAGGATAAGAACTCGCCTATGACATTGGCCATTGGTTGCGCTATGTCGTGAATTGGCGAAATTCATGGGCCATTCGACTGCCTCTCAGTGGCTTGATTGTCTAAGAGCTTGTCTTGTAACCAGAACGTCCTGTGTTAGGATCCCAGTGGGTACGTACTACTGAAGAGTCCCAGACTAGGACAAGGCAGCTAGATATCCAGTACTCCCAGGTTATCCAGTGGTTGTCTCACTGATGTCACATCATGATGCAATCCCTTAACCAATCAATCAAAATCCCTACAAACCAATACTTGATTCACGTGTATAGTGTTCACTCGTTCGCTGCATTTCACTATCAGCAAATATGACGACTGAGAGTAGATATAAAAAGACTAGCGATTTTCGACTGTAAATGTCTTCTTTCGATCTATCATGTTAGGGATGACAATATTTTCAGCATTAGTCGAGAAGGAGAAGTCAGTCGTTGACGCTATGAAGCTCCTCCATTTGAAATCACCAGGACACGTTCTACTTGGAACCACCAGCAATTTCCAACACGAAAAGCGTTTCAAACAGGCTACTACAAACTTCAATCAACAGCCGCCTTCGCTGGCAATATATTGAATATCAAATGGCCAGAAAGAATTAATAACAAGAAACTATGGGGACAACCCAACCAAGAACCTGTTGCTCAACAAATATCTATAATAACATGAAGATGGATGGGACACGGAGAGGAGACCGTCGAGTAAAATGGTGCTCCAGGCCATCGCTCTATTGGAATCTGAATGGGGAACGACGAGTCGGGTGTCGCCTCTCTAGGATGACATGAAATAAGTCGTGCGAGTAGAAGATGGGAGACTATGGGTAACCGTGAGGTCAGCTAAAGAGGATCTCAGAGAATAAGACAAAGCGGAGATGAACTGCTGAAGCTTTGTGTTCGACTTGGAATCCGAGGGAACCGTATTAATAAAATAAGGCCATGGTAACAAAAGAGGCTAAATGATACGTTTATGAAAACAATTTTTAGGTTTTCCCTTATGGATTGCTAGTGTAACAACAGAAGACAAGGGCCAGGCAACAGATCGTTTTATTATGAAAATCAACACGTATTTATACATCTTTCAACTACATTATTATAGACAAGCGCAGTCATCTGATTGGTTGTTTAGGTAGACAAACGCAGGCTTCTGATTGGTTGTTTCGGGATTCCTTGACAAATAGAGTTCTCTCTGCGAATCATATTCTGCCACGTTAACTTTGCTGTGATTGGTTGTTGACTCAGGCTTGTTCATATTTTCTCACGGCCCATATTAGTGACCTAGACCTTAACGTAGATTAGTGCCAACCAATCGGCTAGCAGCCTGCTCTCACCACACTAGTACTTCGGCTGCATGAAGCAGTCGTAAGAGGAATCCTTTCAAACTGTTTGATCGTACTTCGTAAATGACTCTAGATAAAGTTTCTTCTAGTGCTGTGTTACCAGAAGTAATAATATGCTTCAAACTTAAGCTGTTGACT